TTGTCCTTCTTGTCTCTGTGTCGTCGTTTTGTTCTCGCGCTATAACTATCGTGATGCCATACCAACTAGCCCAAGCTGCCACACTTCTAAGTTTGGGTAGTTCGGGAGCGCCCCATCTTCTTTCCACTTGTCCTGTGGTTTCTTTTTTTTCTTCTCTTTTTTTTCTTTTCTTTCCTTCTCTTTACGGGCGCATCTCCTTAACGCTTTTTATCATGCGTCGACCAGTTTTGCTGTCATTTGATAATGCGGGCAGACTGTATCGTAGAAAGCCAAGGAAAATCACCCTGTAGAGTCGTAACATAGCATTGGGCTGCATTTTCCAAGTCTTTCCAGCGAAAAACTTGAAAAGATGGCATATGCCTGTCAATTGCTTTTTCAAATACGATACATGAGGGCTCCATGATATGTCTCTGTCGACTATGACACCAAGAAATTTGTGAGATCGACGATATGGTATATTTTGACCGTTAATTGACACTGTAATTCGACATGGGTTTGCGCGTAAATGCCAGAAGAGCGCACTTTCCGGAGGAAATTTCCAGGCCTCGATTGCGGAGATACAAAGCAGTTGCAGTAGTAGCTCTCTGTATTCTCGCTCCTAACTGCAGGCGAGTTACCGCAGATGTCCAGATGCAGATGTCATCAGCGTATGTTGATAGATAAATATTGTTTGGTAGGTGCGTATGGAGAGTGATTAGTGTTATATTGAATAGCACGGGGCTCAGTACACCACTCTGAGGGACGCCACGACAACTGAAGTGTGCAGACGTGTTCCCGGCCTCCGTACTCACAAAAAGGGATCGCATTTGGAGATAACTGCGTATCCACTTAAACATTCGGCCACCCACTCCAATCTTTTCTAGTGCGGTAAGGACGGTTTCATGTGTAACGTTATCATAGGCTCCTTTGACGTCAAGGAACAGAGAGGCGCAAAGACGCTTATGGCCTTTCTCGTGTTCAACGTACGTGATTAGGTCAATGACGCTATGAATCGATGATCGACCACGTCGAAAGCCAGCTATGGCATATGGGTAGATCTCATGATACTCCAAGTACCGCTCGAGTCGGCCGAGAATCATTCTCTCCATCACTTCACCTACGCAACTAGCCAATGCGATCGGGCGATAGAAGGAGAGTTCCAATGGTGATTTGCCAGGTTTTAGCAGTGGTACTAGACGACTAGTTTTCCAACTTAAGGGGACAGTGCCCTCTAGCCAACAATCATTATATAGCTGAAGTAGAGCTATTCTCGCGCGCTCACCCAGATGACACAGGGCTCTGTAGGAGATTCTGTCAGGTCCTGGTGCGAAGGTACGTTTGCATGAATCGAGTGGTCCGTCTAACGCCACTTTCGCTAGTGCATCAGCTGTTTCATTTACAGTTATGCCGCTATGCCCCGGCACCCATACTAATCGCACCTGGGTTAAGTGATTCTGTACTAGGGAGTTGAATTCGCCTAATGCTTTCGAGGTTGCCATGAGCGCAATGCAGACCGACAAGGAGTCTCTTACTATTACGGCGGATTTCATTGATGTTGGCAGTTTTCGAAGGACCAATACTACGGCTAAAAATTCTGCAAGAAAGATAGGTGTACTTCAAATACTTAGGGCATGACACCTTTTCGAATTTGTTGTGCACCCACTACGTAGCCTTAAAGGGACAGGCGCAGTAGCTCGAGTTAGCCATTTGAAGTGGGTAACTGGCTTTAAACCACGAACTCATTATGATAATCACATGTTCTCGAGCCTGATTGCAATGAATGCTTGTACCATAGAGTTTCCTAAAATTAACTAGAATGGACTCTGGCTCTGTGATCTTTGAGCGAACATGGCGATGATGGGTACTACAAGGATTCGCCTCGTATTTGTGGGTGGCGAACCGCGCTTGTGGCTTCGTTGAAACCGGGCATCTAGTTTCCATCAGCAATGACCCATGTATGAGCTATGAGAGCTGTGTTCTATCGAGCGGCTATACATTTTTCACATCCTGTTCAATTTCAACCTTCAACCATCTTCGGTTTGGCAGCCTTTGTGGGACTGAATTTCGTAACTACGGATTGTACTACACTCTTTCACTTCCAAGCATTTGAACGGAAAGGGTAGCGCTTGTGGACACAGACAGCCAGAAGACTCACGGACACGCAGGCGGAAGTGTTGCAATTGCTTTAGGTCGCTTCACCAGAACCCCCGCTAAGCTGTCTGGTGAAATTCACGGGACATTCTTTGATAGATCAAAACGGACTCCTAAACAGCCTCTGAATATACGAAAAACGAGCACGTCACTCTCCTGGCGTTTCGGCGCCCTTCATGACGAGAGAAGTGGTATTCACGTGACGTATATATGGTAAAAACTGTCAATTAGTCCATATAGGATGAATGGCAGATGCAGATTATCCCCTCGTTTCTTCACCACACAATCACCGAGACGTCTTTCCTTGTCTCGCATCAACGCACTTAAGGAGAACGCTTGCGTGACAGACGACATGGCGATGCGTGTCGTTCGATATCAGGTGCAATAGGCGCGTGGTGGTCTCGCGTTGAGTAACCTTAAAACGATTTTCAATCCTGGTTCGATCCAGCCAGTAATACTAAATACTGAAGCTCTACGCACACTGTGTGTCGATTACACTGCATTTTGGGAGTTTCACATTAACCATTTATTTATACACGCCAAGTAAATGACATTTTTGCAAAAAAAAACTACAAAGTAAGTTTTAGTATTTTATATGTTCTGTTAATAGAATTCACTGATGCTTTGTTTGCTTCTTCTTGTATCTACAGAACAGGGCTGGTTAAAACGAGTTAAGGTAGCAGCATAGCTGTACAGTCATAAATGGTAGTTGTCTTCAGGTTTTAAAGCTCCTTGGTAGCCTACAAAAAGTGTTGATAGGAGCAGCGGAGGTGTGTAGGAAATAAGGTGCGCCGCTTTAGATTTCAAGGACGAGTTTTGAAGAATGTCTTTGGAATTATTTATTGGGCCTATTGTTCACATTTTAAATCAAACCCAAGATTGAGCACAGACTGTGTGACACAGTTTAGAAACTATGCCATGTCTGGTTGTTAACTGAAGGGCTATTGACCTTCCAGTCCGAGAGAATTAGCTACTCTATGTTGCAACTGAACACAAGGAAAGTGATGCTGGGAGGAACACGACGCGAATTTTTCGAGCCCACGTGTGTTGAACACGCAAAAAAACGAATTATTTCAATTTGTAGTTACATTTGATATCAAACTTTTAAAGAAATAACCACACTTTTCGACGCAAATTTTCTTGAGCAAGTTGGCTTCACAGCAGTGCTTAGCCTATTATTACCCCGGGTATTTTTCTTTATTTTTGAAATTTTACCGTAGCTAACGTTTGGGGGATCGGTTAATACGCTGGAGTGTGTTATACACTTGAATATACGGTATCGATGTAAACAGGCCTCAGCTTCCTAATGCGTAGCTCCGCGTACTCCTCCAGCACCGGATCTTCTATAGCAGGTCGCAACCTAAGTATGAATACAAGATACACCCACAAAGTTGTATATTATAGCCGCCGCTGCCACTGTTGTTCGTAACCACAATGTCTCGAAATGAGAAAAAAAAAATGCCCAGGATTGAATGGCGTTTGAACCTGGGGCGTCTCGATTGCATCCCAGTACTCTACCACAGATCCATGATGGTGTTCGAAACTTCTTTGCAAAAAGACCCTAGAAAAGCTTCATGTCGGCGAATATCTACTTTAACATGTAAAGGAGTACAGATAAAAGCCAAAGGTCGCACAATGCGAATGGCGTAACAAGTGGGTCAATGAATCGTTTCAAGTTTACACGCAACAAAAGAGGCCATGCCGTAAGTTTTCATTGTCATCAATCACAATATGAACAACGTAAAATGCACGTAATGGCTTGCAAACGGGTACCTCCCTTCTCTGCAGAAAAAGCGAATAAAGGCTTACTGGGTGCTTCTCTTCTAGGCAAAATTTACTATTTATGTCCCAATGGGAACTTTTCAAGTGTATTTCGTACTTCCAAAAGAGTTTACAACGGATTCTAGATTATTTCGCTATTCAAACTTGCGCTGCGACTGCGCTGCGCTCCTTGTCGGCTTGCGTTTTTTTTTTCTTCGTGCCATGTTTCTTTCTGCGAAAACTATTCATCTCCTACTTTTGATTGCGCGCGCCTACACGTCGCTCTCAACAGTCTTCATTCGACGCAGTTGAAGCCTGTGTTTGGGCCGCTTTTGGAGCATAGCGAAATGACAGGTGCTCGAAGTGTTCAGTGTACACCATAATTTCGTCAACGACAAGTTGCGACTCGTCATGTTTACCTTGTATGGCTTGGATGCATAAAAAATATATCTTGAGGTGGTCACCACACTCACAGATTTGTATGTGTGTGTGTGTGTGTGTGTGTGTGTGTGTGTGTGTGTGTGTGCGTGTGTGTGTGTGCGTGCGTGCATGGGTGTGAGTGTGCGTGTGTCAAGTACTTGCTTTAAAAGACGGAAGCGCACAAATAATAACGCTGTACGTAAATAAAGAAGGAACGAGAAATTGTGAAAGAATGGTCGAGCGGAACACAAAGAAAAAGAATGAACGAGTGTCATAATCATCAAGAAAACGTGCTATAGAGAAAATAAAGGAAAACAAACAGATGAACAAACCAGTACGAATGAAAGAACGAACTGTATAGTCATTCAGCAAATACGCAGCATTATCATGTGCATGGTGGGACCTCAAGGTCAGGCTCTAAAAACATTAACATATATGTTTACTTTTACGGAACAAATGTTTGTGAAGTTTTCTGAAACGATTACGCTTCTTAAAGGCGAACGCTGCGTTGAGGAAAAACGACGAAGACCGCGCGACACGAGCGCGGGGCCACGCTGGGAGCAGGATATGACATCGCGCCTCGTTCGAACGTGCCAGGGGGGCCAATCAGGAGACGCGTCGTCATCCCCGGCTGCAATGCTGGAGCTGGGCCACTGGCTACACTGAGAGTGTACGACTTTTCCTGAAGAAGCAGTGCTCGTAGCGGAATTGCTTCCAGACAAGGTGCTCTACTGCACGGCGACTCGTGTGGCGGAAGAAGCCGATCCCACAGCGAGACATCAGCCTGCACTGGCGGAGCGAAGCTTGATTGACCGAGGCTACGCGATTTCCTGCACGGCGGCCGCCACACTGCGGAAGATCGACGGCAACATCAGAGGAGCGAATGCGATGTGGATGCTTCACGCAAGAAACCTCTGTGAAAAGGGTGAGTTCCTTTATGAATGTAATCAACGAAAGGCAGCAACCTGTGGAGCAACAATTTGAACTCTTGAAATGATGTATTTGAAGAACTGAACTAGAGAAGCATTGTCAGCTGCTACATTGTTCTGAATTTGGCGCCAGATGAATAGCATGTCTTTTCCTCACACGGCTGTTCACGCCTGCATGGCAAGCGCACTTACTTTGCATGCGCGTCCTTTTTCAAGTGTCCACCTCCGTCTCTTGCGCACTGTATTGATGTCACTAGTGACAAAAAGAAGTTTTCAATACCTCGCATCATTTTGTCCAGGGAGTCCACAACCTTTGGTCAAGCAAGTGTCTTGCTCCTGTGCCCAACCACGCTCTTTCTTCCGTCTGCATCGAGCCTACCGGACCAAGCGCAGTCGTCGAGTGTCAAAAGAAGGCCGTAAACGAGAAAAATGTTCTAGTGAACTTGAGTTTCACAGGCTGTACGAGCAATTTCTCGTAGCTAACAGTCCACGACAACCACGGCACACTGCGCTGCAGTGAACAGTTTCTTAAAACTGCTCATTTTTCTATCGGTCAAGGATGACCCGAGCATTACAGTGATTTCTATCGCCAGTGTCATCGAAGTATGAACACTCAGTGGTCTTCAATATTGTTAATAAAATCTGATTGAAGCGCCATTCGCGTCTTATATTTTGAAACAAAGTTTACGAGATGTTTGCCACGCTTTTTGCCACTTCTCACGACAACTAAACAATTGAGATCTCTCCTTATTTTGCTTGCACGACCTCCAGTGGCATTAACGCATTGTTTTTGCGGGAACATCACTAGCACACATTTCAAAAGTTGCAATACACTATGCGTGGAGGTAGTGGCTCTCAAGCTACGGTAATATCTATAGTGAATAACAGCTTCACGCCGGCTCAGCTTTTACAATGCTCGGCATCTGGCCTGAAATACGGGGGGTAGAACCTGACCGCAGTGGTCGGATTTCGACGGAGCAGAGCGCAGATGCTCTTGGCGCGTACTGTGCGATGTGCGCGAGTGCATAAAATTATCCGAAGACCTCCCCTACGGTGTCTCATAGCCAGAGTCACTTCGGGACAAACCACACGATCGAACCGTAGTATATTTCCAACTACGGAGTTCGACTCAGCCATGCGGGTAACTTCAAAGTTTTTTGTGGCAGTGCCAATGTTATGAACGTGCATTATGGCTTTAACAGCGCATCATACAAAACTTTTGACGTGATACTAAATTTGTGAGTTGCGCATACAAGGAACTGCATAACGTTGAACATTGCAGATAACGCCAGGGGATCAAAACTAAGCCTGAGTCCTCCACTACGGCATGCACTATAATTCATCATAGCTTTATGAAAGAAAAACTTTGTACAATCATATTTTTCACAAATTTCAAATAAAGAAAATTTTTGTGAGTTTACGCTTCAAAATCATGATGTCCTTATGAGGCAGGGCTCGGTGGGAGACTTCAGATTATTTGAGGCTACCTTGGAGTTCTTTAAGGTTACCCTAATGTAGGCACACGGGTGTTCCCACATTTCACCTTTCGAATAGCGGCTGCCATGACCGAGAGTCGAACCCACGCCCTGGAGGGTGGAAGTGTGACCCTCTAATTGACAAGTTACAAAACATTGCAGTGGGTATTCATATTTTTTGTCTTTTAACATTTCAACAAAAATATTAGAATTTCATGCATGTCACCTTGCTCTGTGAGTCACTAACTGTGAAGTCAATTAGGAAAAATTATCAACAGGAGATAGTAAACTCTGAAAAGAGTGTTTTTTTGTTTTTTGAGGCCATATGTTGTTGCGGCTTGCACACTACAACAGCCAACACGTGAATTGCACGTGAGATCAGGTTAAATAAACTTAATTTCGTCCTATAATGACCCCGATCAGACACCCCCAAGAATGAGGAGTGGGGGGTTCACTGCAGTTGCTGGCTGCGCCCACGCCGGAACTGAAAGACCATGGCCTTCCGCCAGTTCACACGCCTCTGGACTACCGGGAGCTGAACTGAGAGATCGCAGTTTCTAAGGGCCTTCTCTAAGTCCTCTGTTTTGTGCTGAACTTGGCGCTACGTAACACTGGGCACTGTCAGAGCATTTGAGTGAGTGTGCAATTATCCGCGAAATATGATCTTTGATTTATTTATGCCTTCAGTATTGTCACTAAACGTGTTTGAGACAGGAATGAAACTACTCTGAGCATCTAGAGTGCGAAAAAAAAAACACTTTCTGTAGCGCACTTTTTACAAAACTGGTTCCTAATCAAAACTGGTACATTATCATTGAGCACTGCTGTTTTATTATATTCAAGCACTAAATTATATTCTTGTTCATATCATAAACATTTACAGAATTAGAAAAAAGGGAGAAAAATTTTCTCTCAGTGATCACCTAAAATATCCATGGAAATCGCGGTGGAGCCATTCTCGACAATCAGAAGTGATGATAACCAGATTTTGATGTCTTGTCCCCCCATTGAACTTTTACTGCTACAGGGTTGTGTGACGATATCACCCCTCTGCCAATTCTGCGGAGAACTGGAAAATATCGCACATTACTTTTTGTCATGTGCAAGATATTCTCGAAGTAGAACTCGACTTGTCATTACTCCTTTTACAAAACTAGGCATGACCTTTTCGGAGAAAAATGTTTTAAGCTTCGGTGCCTGAGGTTTGGGATACTGCCTCAAGGATGTCTTTCATGCCGTGTGTTTTTTTATTATAACTACTCGACGAGTACCATTTAAATCTGGTATTAATTCAAATTCATCATCATTTCGTTAAATTAAAACTGAAGTTTTCAAAATTATTCCCGTCAGGTTATTACGGCAGTCTGGAATACAGGCTCAAAAGCACATTACTTGTAGTTGAATTGAATATTTTTCGTATTATAGCCATTTCATTTTTTCAATTTTTGGTTTTGAATTCCTTAGTTTACCTGATATACCATTAAACAGTCTCTACCTTGCACTCTTGGCCAATCCCCCAAAGTGAGTACATGCCATGTATCTGGAAAGCAAAGCAAAGCAAAGTAAGGCTAAGGCTGCTCGAGGCAAAGGCGACAAAGACGAATAATCATGTGGAGCACGAGGCCACGTTGCGCGTGTTTTAAGGCATCTCTGGAGCCAATCAGAAAACGAGTCGTCAGTGCTTACTGCCACGACGAAACCAGGCTGCAAGAGCCTTTCTCAGTTGCCATTCCATCTCTTCGAAGAAGACGATAGCGAGAGTGCTTCAGGCAAGATGGAGTGCCGGATGACGAGTACGCGATGGCGGAGCAGACCTAATAAGACGCCACGAGAGGGCGACTTCGACGGTTGCAGCAAGGCTTTGCAGGTTGTGACCACGCGGGTTCCGAAACGGCGGCCCCCGAACAGACAAACATCTGCGACAACATCCAAGGCAACATCGCAGGAGCCAATGCGATGTCGACGACTCGCGCAAGATGCCCCTGTGAAGCAGGTTAGTCGTGTTATTGATCTTATTAACGTGAATCACTCACATATGGCGCGATCTTGCCAACTTATGAATCAGTGAGCCTTAAGAAAGCAGACATGCTTCGATTCGATGCTTGAGCCACGCATAAGTAACGTTCATCCAAGCTTCGTTGCTGCTTTGGACCGCAGCGCCCATTGTTGCATGTCCTATCTTCTTTTCCCAAAACTTCGTCTCCATCGCTTTTGCATATATTCTGCTGGCGTTAACTATGTGTAAATATACCTTCTTAACACCATGCAGGAACTCGTGAAAAGAGTGACTACCTCTTGTTCAGCAAGCGCCGTGCTCCTGTGTCCTACCAAGTGTTCGCTTGCGCGTACATCGAGCCAAAACAATCCACAGCATGCAGCAGGCGCAATCGCCGAAGGAAGACTTGGAAGGAGGAAGTAGTTCCAGTGAACTCACTTTCACCGCCTCAGCAGAGACGTCGTCAAGACATGGAATCTGCGCCTGATAGGGAATCCTATGCGTCGCTGACGGGTCTACCAAATACTCATTTTATAGCCTGTTCGCCAGCGATCACACGTGTTAAACGATTTGTATCACTTGTGCATAAAAACTATCAGGCTCTAATGTTTTCGAATATTGTTAATAAAGTTTTATTGAAGTGTCAATTTTGTCCTACGATATGGAACCATCAATAAAACTTTGTTTGGGCTTTGTTCGGGCGTAACTTTGAAGGTGAAGTGTTCAGTGCAGTTCGGGGTGGACAACAAAGAGATGACGCAGTGCTTGTGCTTGTCTGATCTTTTTGCACTCCGTTCTTATTTTGTGCCAAGGTATTCGCATAAGCACTGTTGACGCGAAGTTTCCTGTTCACATCTTAATGATAGGTCGCTTGAGCACGGTGTATTATTCGGTGGTTTCGGTAGTGACGTATTATCACCTTGTGCTGTGTTCAAATTGGGACAGACAATTTTCGCTGCTACTGAGCTGCAATTAAAACAGAACCAGAAATACAAGAAACGCAAAAAATGTAGGGGACCCTATACATGCAGGTTCACACTTAGGAGTTGAACGCGATATCGGTCTTCTGTTCCTAGTGCGTAATTCAATTACTTCGGGCGTGACACATTTTCGAACTTGCTGTGCACCCACTACGTCAGCTTAAAGGAACAGGCGCAGTAGCCCGTGTGTGCCATTTGTAGTGGGTAACTGACTTTAAACTACGAACTCATTATGATAATCACATGTTCTCAGGCCTGATTGCAGTGAGTGCTTGTACCATGAGGTTTACTAAAATCAACTAGAATGAACTCTGGTGCTGTGATCTTTGAGCGATCATGGGAATGATGGGTAGTACAAGGATTCGCCTCGTACGTGTGGGTGGCGAACCGCGCTTGTGGCTTCGTTGAAACCGGACATCTAGTTCCCTTCACCAATGACCCATGTATGAGCTATGGGAGATGTGTTCTTTCAAACGGCTATTCATTTTCGACATTCTGTTCAATTACACCCTTCAACCATCTTCAGTTTCGCAGCCGTTGTGGAACTGAGTTTCGTAACAACGAATTGTACTACACTCTTTCACTTTCAAGCATATAAACAAAAAGGGTAGCGCTTGTGGACACGGAGAGCCAAAATACTCACGGACACCCAGGCGGAAGCGTTATAATTGCTTTAGGTTGCTTCACCAGAACCCCTGCTAAGCTGTGTGGTGAAATGGCGTTTCGGTGCTCTTTATGACGAGAGAAGTGGTATTCATGTGACGTATACATACGGTAAAAACTGTCAATTAGTCCATATAGGATGAATGGCAGATGCAGATTATCTCCTCTTTTCTTTACCGCACAATGACCGAGACGTCCTTCCTTGTCTCGCATCAACGTCGCAGTAGAAATTTACACACGACAGGCGATGCAGTAGAAACACAACAACCTGATTCCATACACTGCTGCTTGCAACTGCCACGGGTTATCGATGTCGCTCGAAGAAGCACCTCCGCGAATAAAGCACTTAAGGAGAATGCATGCGTAACGCACGACATGGCGATGCGTGTCGTTCGATGTCAGGTGCGATAGGCGCGCGGCGGTCTCGCATTGAGTAACCCCAAAACGATTTTCAATCGTGGTTAGATCCAGCCAGTAATACTAAATACTGAAGCTCTACGCACACTGTGTGTCGATTACGCTGCATTTTTGTAGTTGCACATT